GATCATTTTTGTTTTTCAGAGGAGAAAACTCACAACAGTGTACTTTGAAAAAAAAAAGTTATTTTCAATCACATATGTGTGCTTGGTTTTGTTCCAATCTGACCACTTTAGAAAATATAAATGCCTTTCACATAAAATACTGGCTTTGCCTGTCTCTCAGATATTATTTCTTGTCTGAAAGGTGTAATAATTAGAAGGCCATTACTCTCCCTCATGAAGTAAATTAGGGTCTTTTTATTTCCTTTTTCTTTCATTTGGATCTATTTATTACTGAACTAGTTTGACAAATGTGGCTTAAAATAAAGATGGTGCTATTATTAATGAAAAATGTGTGGCTGCAGCAGTGGTGATAAAGAAAAATGTCACAGAGCACTTATTTTCTTCTTGATTTGGTGAAGTGATCGTTGGGAAAAAGTTGTAATAAACAGAATAATGGAATGGTTAATGTTTTAGCAGAATGGGATTTTACTATGATTTGCTAAAAAGATATACATGAATATGCAATCAATTGATTAGAACTCACAAAACACAGTAGTTGTCAGGCATCAAATTATATTTCTCTTACTAGTCACTGTGAGCAAATCAAGATTTTAAACACAATACAGATCAATTGAAAAACATACTTTACAAAATTAATAGTTACTTAGATTAAAACAGCAATTTGAAAATGACCAAAAAAGTAACAAGACCATGAAAAGAACTATGTGTCTGTGTAACACTCTGCAAATTTGGAGCAGTTTCAGTAGCTTCGTTAATTATAAACTTGACTAAAATGTTACATATTATGATTTTCAGAATGTTATACTACTGAGTTAAAAGCAAAAAATGTAGTATGATTCATAACAAGATTTTATTATTTGTTTCATTAAAGTTATTGGTCATCTAGATGTATTGTTTTTAATAGTCGTAGGGAAAAAGCTGTGATGTAAGTGTGCCCCCATGTGGCTATAGATTGGTTGTAAGAACGTCAGAAGGCATTAATGGAAATAGGGCTTCAATTGGTTATATTAATATTATCTTGTTAATATTTACTTCATCCCAAGCAGAGAGTTGTTTTCTTATTTTAAAGGTGTTCTAAGATAGAGGATTCTCAGTTTCTTCCATAATTCTTACAAACATTTTATTTTTAGTACTCATACAGTTTAACTAATGTGTCTACTTCTAATTCTGAGGTGTATAATATAGTAAAGACACATAAATCATCATAAAAGATGTATTTTTTCTCATGTCTAAAGTGTTTGGTTGAGTCAAGCCTAAGTCATTCTCTGCAAGTGTTTAAAAACACATTTTGTAATTGAATAGGATGTTGTATCTGGTAGGAAATTTGTATTAGGACAGGCTTATGGCCTGAGAAAATAGTTTGCCTATTTATGTGATATTTTAATAAGACTAATATTAAGTCTATTATTAAGAGTATTATTTGTTCATAATTTTTTTTAACCAATAGGATATTGGATATTCATAGTAAATGTTGGCGATTCCACAGAATTTGAAACCCCTTTTCCATACAGCATCTTTGTGGAGTTCTTTGCTTCCACACTGTCTGTGTGTGTGTGTGTGTGTGTGTGTGTGTGTGTGTGTGTGTATTATTATTTCTTCTTTTTAAGACAGAGTCTCACTCTGTTGCCCAGCCTGGAGTGCAGCGGCACAATCTCAGCTCACTGCAACCTCCGCCTCCTGGCTTTAAATGTTTCTCCTGCCTTAGCCTCCTGAGTAGCTGGAATTACAGGTGTGCGTCACTATGCCCAGCTAAATTTTGTATGTTTAGAGAAGATGGGATTTCACCATGTTGGCCAGGCTGGTCTGGAGCTCCTGACCTCAGGTGATCTACCCGCCTCCACCTCCCAGAGTGCTGGGATTACAGGCGTGAACCTCCGCTCCCAGCCACGGCCATAATATTTTGACACAGGAGTATATCTTTATTCAACTCTCTAGTCACTAGTCCCAGGATCTAAAGTGTAACCTATTGGCCAGTTGATGCTTCTAGAAAATTGCTGTGAGGATTGGTTGTTAATGACCCTATTGTATCTAAGACCACATCTTGTTTCTGAAGTAGTGCAGTGTGTTAGCATTATAATCATGTTTGACCGAGTTTGAGTGGCATTCTTTTTTTGCTGTTTGAGCATGTGACTGACCAGCAGTTGCCACTCAAGGTCGCTGACTACACAGGTAGAAGCCTGAGCTTCAGCTTGAAATGGATGTTTACATTTTAACCAAAATTACGGGTCTCAGAGTAAATGCAAATTTTTTCATATTTTATTTTGTTATTTTAAAAAATTAGTCCAAATGCTGTGCTTCTACTCTAACTTTTTATATTAAACTTTTAAAAGTGAAATCTGAAATAATTAAATTTCAAAGGTTACAATCACTAAAGAATTAATACAAACACATATTTAATTTTTTTCTTTACTAAAAATTCTCTTTCCTTAATTTGAAATCATGTTTAGCATGGCAATATTTGTGAGGATAAAAAAAACTTCTTTAAGTAAAAACATAATTTTGGGAGGAGTTTTCTTTTTTAAAATAATTCAAGATAACTTTCATTTTCATTTTTGTTATTTAACGTACTGTTTAATGTTCTCAGAGAACAATCTTTCGGAAATAAATATTGATGCCTGTCACTTTGCATAGGTCAAAATGAATTAGGCACTTTTGAAAGGCAAATTGGCTGGGCGCGGTGGCTCAAGCCTGTAATCCCAGCACTTTGGGAGGCCGAGGCGGGTGGATCACGAGGTCAAGAGATCGAGACCATCCTGGTCAACATGGTGAAACCCCGTCTCTACTAAAAATACAAAAAATTAGCTGGGCATGGTGGCGCGTGCCTGTAATCCCAGCTACTCAGGAGGCTGAGGCAGGAGAATTGCCTGAACCCAGGAGACGGAGGTTGCAGTGAGCCGAGATTGGGCCATTGCACTCCAGCCTGGGTAACAAGAGTGAAACTCCGTCTCAAAAAAAAAAAAAAAGAAAAAAAAAGAAAGGCAAATTGAACCATTTGTGACCCCACCCTTTCCACCTACATTGTCTAAAAAATGAATCTTAAACTTAAGTCAGTAACATTTCAAATGATACATTTTCCCTTATGGATGTCTCTCTTCACACTTATGGAAGAAAACAGGTTAAAGTAGAGTGGGAAGGGAGGAAAGACAAAGCAATGGATGTAATATAGGATTTGTAATATTTATTTAAAATCTTGAATGGAACGTTTCCTAGCAAAATGTTGAATGGTTGTCGTACAAATAGTTGTTCTCAGCCAGAAAACTTTATGGAATGCCTCAACTAAATGATTGCTCATGCTTTCTTTCCTGTGTGCTTGATATCTTGAAATTTCAAATTAATTTTTTAATATAATTTTTAAAATTTGACTATTTATTGATAATCACTTTGTGTTTGGGGGCAAAAAGCTGCAGGCACTTTAGTGAAGATTATTTATTGAGTTATGATTATCTTTATGTGTTTAGAAGTAAAACATGTCATAGATAAATTAAGTAACAACACTGAGAGATAGAGTTACCTAAATCCACCTAAATGAAGATTGGCAAATTGTTTATGTTCCCTACAACTCACCTAACTTATAAAACCTTAATTAAATATTTTTAAAAGAGTCATTATAAATCTAATATGCTGACCTAATATTGTGAGTGTGTACCACTTTCCAGAAGTATAGAAGGATAAATGATATTCAGACATGATTTTTTTTTTTTCCTTTTTCTTTTTTGAGACAGACTCTTGCTGTATCACCAGGCTGGAGTGCAGTGGTGCAATCTTGGCTCACTGCAACCTCTGCCTCCCTGGTTCAAGCAATTCTCCTGCCTCAGCCTTCCAAGTAGCTGGGACTGCAGTTGCCCACCACCATGCCCAGCTAATTTTTGTATTTTTAGTAGAGACGGTGTTTCACCATGTTGACCAACTTGGTCTCAATCTTCTGATCTCGTGATCTGCCTGCCTCGGTCTCTCAAAGTGTTGAGATTACAGGCGTGAGCCACCACACCTGGCCAAGACATGCTTTAAAAGTATGCTTGCAAATAGTAGACAATTTTAAAAAGGAAAAAAAATCACCTTTATTCTTCATAATTTACATGATTTCATTTATAAAGCACCAACTTGGTTTTTTAAAAAGTAGACGTTGACCATTCCAAGAAAATATGATGGAATGGACCATACACCAATGGAGGAGCTCAACATTTATCTTCTAAAAATCTGCTTGTTTTTCCTTCCCACTTCTTATTCACAAAACACAAAATGTACTAGTGCTAAAACATTAAATTATTTTTCTCTCTTGAAGTCTAGAGTTATCATTCCCAAAGCCCATGTGGTCATCAGTTGTCATAATGTTCCATGCCAATCTGGAATAAAATGTGGGGAATGGGCATTCCATTAAAAACGATTATTCACTTATAAAGCCTTACATTACGTATTTGACCATACAATTCCCCCTCTCTTCAACCAGAGTAGTATAAAAAAATAAATTACTGAAATTTTTAACTCCAAGAGAAATTCAACATTAATGATTTTTTTAAAGAAAACAATGTAGGAGACAAAATTGAATATATTTATTTTGCAAATGTAATTTCCCATTAACAAAGAAATATATAGAGAATGTTTCATTTGCAGCTGCCTAACAGAGGGGTAATTGACTAGTAAATGCCTCATGCTCTTTTAAAATTGTCTTTCTAGGCCAGTAGCAGTGGCTCATGCCTGTAATTCCAGGGCTTTGGGAGGCCCAGAAGAGAGGATCACTTGAGGCCAGGCGTTCTGGGCATGGTGGCATGCACCTGTAGACCTAGCTACTCAGGGGGTTGTGGCAACAGGATCACCTGAGTTGGGGAGTTCGAGGCCATAGTCAGCTACAACTGTGCCACTGTGCTCCAATCTGGGCAATGCAATGAGACCCTGTCTCTTAAAAAAAAAAAAAAAAAAATGAAGTCTCCAAGAGCCCATCCTCCACCATGAGATGAAGCCCAAATCCCCAAAAAAAAAAAAAAAAAAAGCCTCTGCAGTACTGGCATAGTTACATTATCAACAAAAATGAATGCTTCTCAAAATCTGGCCAATGGAAATAATATTGTTTCATATTTTTTCATTATCCTATGAATAAAGATAGTTCACAAGCAGAAGTTTATTTCCAAAAAAAAATTCAGTGTCATTGATATGTACTGGAACCGCTACCAAAATATATCAGTTTTTAGATATAAGGACATCAAAGTCACTCCCACTCCCCATGACCCAAAGAAATTTAAACTTATCCGGATACAGATGATAATACATAAATATTTTTGTGAGAAAAACTTTTTGCTTTACAATGCTACTTATATGTGTAGATAAGTTAATGTCTATTCAAACTAAACACATCACACAGCACCTTTTCTTTTATATCTTGAGAAGCATATATTAGCAAGAGTGGGAGAGAAAATGGTTGATTAGAAAAGCCCACAGTCTTTCAGATTCTCTTTGATGATTATATCTGTAACTGCATCAAACACAAACTTGACATTTTGGGTATCAGTAGCACAGGTCATGTGGGAATAAATTTCCTTATCTTCTTTTTTTAAATTCAGGTCTAGAAACTGGTTCTTGATGTAGTTTCCTGCATCTTCAAATGTATTTGGCCCTTGTTAAACAAAATATTTTAAGAGGTAAAGATTAATCGTATGTTAAAAAGAATAGGCTATAAATAATATCAGTAAGTTTTAGGATTTTACTTTGATATACTAAGTATTGCAAAATCATAAAGGCAAGGATCAGTTGTGAGGGTGGTGGGAACTATGCTTACCCGGTTGGGAGCTCCCAGTGGCTACAAGGTAAACTCTGCATCAGAAAGCTCACAGTACAGTAGAAATGCCAAAATATTAATAAAAAATGAGTGAGTGTTACAAGCCTACATAAACATCAAATACCATGTGTGTGTTTGTGGGTATGGGTGTGAATGTTTATACAAGCTAAAAGAGAAAAAGAATGGAAAAGCGAGATGACTGGGGTGCAGAGGAGGTGGTATTTGGGCTGGACGTTGAGAGGTAGCTGCAACAGAGAAAAGTAAGTGAAAGCAAATAGTGAAAGTGAGAATTATACCACTAGACTTGAGGGAAGGGAAGGGAAGGGAAACAGATTGAGCTTTGAAGAATCAAGTCAGATAGAAATGAAAGATTTTTGTAGAGGAATTGTAGGAAATCAAGTAGAATAGATGCTATGGGCTAGATTTTAGACTATGTTACTTACAAAACAAAGGCATTAGGATGAGACATAAAAGGCTATACAGAGGTAGTCTTGACTGATGTGTTGTAAGCACTCACACAATGAAGGCCCTGCTTGAGAAAGTTTAGTCCAATAGCAGGAAGCACAATGAATCAGTTGAGACAAGGCAGAAATATAATAAGTAGGCTAAAAAATACAGGACAACTGAAAATGATCTGTTGATGGCTTTATAACAGAATATGCTTTGTGGGTACTTGACACGGGATGGAGCAGTAGCATAAAGATTTTCTAAAGAAATAAGTCTTTGTTTCCTACTTTATTGTTACTAGAAGCAAAACTCCATAAGGGACAAGCTTTAAAGCCATATAACCTGGCTAAAATCCAAAACACTGGCAGTACCAAATGCTGGTAAGGGTATGGAATTACAGGAGTTAATTGCTTGTGCAAAATGGTACCGTCACTTTGCAAGGCAATTTGGCAGTTTCTTACAAAGCTAAAGATAGTCTTACCGTACAATCTAGCAATCACAATTTTAGGCATTTACCTAGAAACTTATGTCTACACAGAAGACTGCACATGGATGTTTACAGCATGTTTTTCCATAATTGTCAAAAATTGGGAGCAACCAAGATGTCCTTCTGTAGCTGAAAGGATAAACTGTGGTTCATTTAAGGAATAGAATATTAATTTAGAAATAAAAAAAATTAGCTATCAATCCATAAAAAGACATGGAGGAAATTTAAAAATACATATTGCTAAGTGAAAGAAGACAGTAAGAAAATGCTACATGTCATATAATTTCAGTTATATTGCATTCTGGGAAAGGCAAAAACATAGAAACAGTAAAAAGATCAGTGGTTGCCAGGGGTGTGGGGAGGGAGGAGGCATGAATGGGGGACACAGGGGATTTTTAGGGCAGTGAAGCTGTTCTGTATAATACCGTAATGGTGGATACATGACCTGCCTTTGTCAAAACACATAGAACTATGCGACATAAAGAGTGAACCCTAATTAAATGATGGACTTGGCAGGGTGCAGCAGTTCACACCTATAATTCCAGCTATGCCTGTAATCCTGAGGAGGGTGGATCACCTGAGGTCAGGAGTTCAAGATCAGCCTGACCAACATGGTGAAACCCCGTCTCTACTAAAAATACAAAAATCAGCTGGTTGTGGTGGCGCAGGCCTGTAATCCCAGCTATTCAGGAGGCTGAGACAGGAGAATAGCTTGAACTTAGTAGGTCAAGGCTGCAGTGAGCCGAGGTTGTGCCACTGTACTCCAGCCTAGGCGACAAAATNAAAGTACATGGGAACTCTTTGTACTTTCTGTTGAAACATTTCATTATAAACTAAAAACTGCTCTAAGATATAAATCCTATTATATATATAAAATATAAAACCTTTAATTATGAGTTTATATTTAATTAGTAATATTCAATATATGTGAATATTATTTGTTAAATGCAAAATATATTTAGTCACACGATAAATGTGTGAATATATTATAGATATTTATAATTACAGAAAAAAGATACAAGCCCTGATTGTAGATTGCCCAACATAAGTATCTGTTTTGACAGAATGCCTTGCTCCTAGTAACATCTGGGTAACCTTACATACCTAAGTGGTGAAACTGGATTTGTATTTTTGTTTAAATCATAAATATTGCTGGGTGAAATGGCTCACACTTGTAATCCCAGCACTTTGGGAGGCCAAGGTGGCCAGATCACTTGAGGTCAGGAGTTCGAAACCAGCCTGGCAAACACAGTGAAACCCCACTGCAACTGAAAATACAAAAATTAACTGGGTGTAGTGGTATGTGCCAGTGGTTGCAGCTACTTGGGAGGAGACAGTAGAATCGTTTGAACCTGGGAGGCAAAGGCTGCAGCCTGGGCGACAGAGGGAGGCTCCATCTCAAAAAAGTAAAATAAATATTTTTTTCTTATGTAATTTTATTACCAACAGAGCATCCAACTATTTATAAAAAAAAAAAAAAAAAAAAAAAAAAAAAAAAAAAAAAAAAAAAAAAAAAACAAAAAAAAAAAAAAAACCGAAAAATTTCTTTCTGAAAGAGAAACAGTCCTCCTGTGTGGAATGTCTCAATTACAATCTCTGACAGGATCAACACTAAAATCCAAGATCCAAGAAAATCAGAAAAAAATGAAGATGTCATTATTCATTCCCAAATTCATTCATGCTATGTCTCGAGAAAGAACTCAGACATTGAAGAGCCTTTGAGATCTACTATAGCATTAGAAGAGTTCAGTAGGAAATACATCAAAAATGCGCGTTTGGAATAAGATTTGCATTGCTGTTATAATTTTGAAGACAGTTCAGTTTGCAATGTCATTTGACACATTCTATGGAGTAGCAACCCCGGTCCATCTAACCCCTTTGGGTTTATTTCACACGGCTTGGCTTTAATGTGGATAATGTAGAGAGGGTTCTTCTTTATTTGTCAGATTATTTTTCAGTTTGGATCTTAAACATGACTCAAAAATGATCATAAGCCTCATCCTTGTAAGTATTAAATGCCATGATCCAGATAGGAAATATATGTTTATACAGAAATTTATTACTATGGAACTAAAAGAAAAGAATCTTACCAGTGTATTCTGGAAAGCAGATACTAAGATGCACCTTGGTTACTTTTTCTTGAAAGATATCTTTTTTGTTGAGGAACAGGACAATGGAGGTTGTTGAAAAATACTTGTGATTACAGATACTGTTGAACAGGTGAAGGCTTTCATGCATTCTATTCTGTTAGGTATCAGAAATGAGAATGGGTAGGATTATTATCTGCAAAATGTGAATATTGGGCATCATGAACAAGGATCTAGAACTAACATCAATCTTTGGAAAACCCTCATGAGTTGGGCAATGTGATAGTGTTTCTGAAAAGCACAAAGATTATTTTTAACCCTGGCTTTGTTTAGACTTACCACTTCTTCATCTTCCACGAGAACCATGTCATAGGCACTAAGCGCAGCACAGAATATGATGCACGTAACTCCTTCAAAGCAGTGAATCCACTTCTTTCTCTCAGATCTCTGTCCACCTACATCAAACATCCTTTAAGAAAACATCAAATGGATAATAAATCTTATCAGTATCTTCCAAAATGTGCCTTGAGGTTAACATTTAGAGTTATAAATGGGTGATCCCATATCTTCAAAAGGTATTTCTTTGACTTTTCTTGATTATAAAATAAAATTTGTTTGGTCAAATGCCTGTTCAAGGACTATAGAGAGAAAATATACTTTTAAAATTGTCCCCACGCAAACTAGAGTGAAATAATTTACACACTTTGAGAAACTAGGAAATGTAAGAGAGTTTAGAGTTTTAGTAAAACATTCATTAGCCATAGCAGATTTTGATTAAAATTTAGACCTATTCTTTTGAATGAAAAGAAACTGCAAGAAGATTGGAAGTTACTGTAGTTCTGATGCTATGGTTCTTGCCTATTTTTTTTTTAGATTTTCCTACATTCATTTGTTTACTCAAACAGTTATTGTTTGCATTCCATGTACTAGACACTGTGCTAGGTCTACTGGCACAGAGATGAAAAGATATGGTCCCTATCTTCAAAGGACCTTCTGTCTTATACAGAAAAAACAAGTAAGTTACAATAATATTATGTAAAAAATATAATATGCAGGGAAAATGTGAGCATACAGGAAGATTTACATCAGCCTGAGGGATCATGACACTTAGAAAAGGTGTTTGAAAACTCAGCCTTTCTTCTACTTTTGTATTTTGGTAAAAGAGATCATTGTGGACAGAGGACTCAATTTTAAGAACTAGGAGTTAGGCGGCAAAAATTTAGGTTTATATCAAAGAAACTGCTTAATGTTTGCCACCTCAGGGCTTTTGCACTGTCTCTTTCCTTTTCCTGTGATGAAGATTTCTTTCTTCCTTACATGACTGCTTTTTTTTTGAACTCTGAAGTCAGCATCAATAAAAAAAGTCTCCTGGAGCATCCATGTAAATTGCACCTCTCTCTATACTCCATTTATCTTCTATAATGTCATTTTCTTTCCTTTTCTTTCCTTTATGGTAATCATCACAATCAATAATTCCAGGTCTAGTTATTTAGTTTTTATATGTGTAATATCTATCATCTCCCTAATACCATAACAGCCTCATGAGGTCAGGAACATTTTCTGTATTAGTAACTGCTGTATTCCTAGTTCCTGGCACCATGGCCAACGTCTGACAGGCACACAAAAAGTATTTGTTAAATAGATGAATAGATTCCATGTTAAGTGAGTAGAGAGGCAGGAAACACAGCAAACATGCTATGTTGTCTCATACCTTGGCAACTTACCCATGTTTATAAAAAGCATGTAAGCAAGTAATTTATAGTTTTGGGAACATAAAGAGTAAGATAAAAACATTGAGCTATATGGCCTAACAAATATCCATTTATTCACTCATTCATCCTTTATTCCACAAATATTTACTAAGTACTTATTATATGCCAGGCACCAAGGATTCAGAAGAAGCTTTTAAACTGATGGTGGTGGTAGTGATTGGTGTGTGTGTTTAAAATAGACTTTAGATATCCATATAGAATATCTGTTATGTATTCAGATATCCTATATAGATACCTGAAAGAGACTTTAGATATCCATATAGGAATCTGATATGGATTCAGATATGCTATGTAGATACCTGGAAATAGACTTAATATGAAATATCTACATGAAAATAGACTTCAGATATCGATATAGGAAGTGTAGGGAGTGGGTTGTAATTTGAAATGAAGTGATCAGAAACTGTAGAAGATGACAGATTTGTAAAAACCTAAGGAGATGAGGGGTTGAGGCAACTGGATATCTGCAGCAAACAATATTGTAGGCACAGGTAACAGAGGAAACAGCAAGAGCAGAGGACTTCAGCTGTGAACTGCACATGATCAGCCAGCAGTGGATTTACTGGTCCATTCATGTTACATGAGAAATACAGATTTCATATTGCAGACAATAGAGGACTATGGATGATTTTTAGATAGGGAATTGACATTTTTTGTCTGTCTGTTGTTGTGACAGATCACTTTGATCTGAGTCCAAAAGATAGACTTAATGAGGACGAGATTAGAAGCAAAGAAATAAATTATGGGGCCATCATAATAGTTTAAACCCAAGGTATTAAGTACCAAAAAGCATCCAAGTTTTACAGACTTCAAGGGTAATAGTTTTACTTGGAGTAATAAATGTCAGCCGGTCTGCTTATTGAAAATAATCAAAAGTATAGTATATTATACCTCATATTTCACACATAAACCAAGTAAAGATATATAGAACTAATATTCCTCAAATAATGTACCAATGCAAAATCACTCCATTAAGTAGTAGATTAAAAGAGAAGATTCTCACAATATTGAAGATAATGGTTAAGAGTTCAGTAGTTAATGGTGTGAAAATTGAAATTTGGTGTTTATAAAGAATATTATATGTGATACTAATTACCAAATTATAGTTTCAGGCTTGCAAAATAAATGGAGGAAGGGGACCAAATTTTGGCTTTAAGGTTATATTATGTGAAAATTAACCAGTACATTTAATTTTTAAAAAATTAAACAACATTCTCATGGAAACAAGGATTATAAATATGCATTCATACATTTAAATTGTTCAGCAACTGTTTTGTTGATCCATAAAAACAACCTTAGTTTTTTTCAGACTTCGTGAACTGGAGTTTTATCTATTTCTTTGATGAAATTACTTTTAAAGTATAAATTACATTTAAACTATAAAATGTGATGGAAATGGATATAGTTGAGATCATGACTTTCATGTTCTCCTTAGTTTTCCACATCACCAGTTGTAATGGATTAATCTTAATTTAACACACCTAATAAGAGTTTACTATTTGCTGGGCATATAAACACCTTACAGTGATTAACTCATTTAAACCTCTTCAGGAACCGACAAGGTAGGTACATTTAGTATTCTTATTTTTTCAGATAAGCCCTTAAGCAAATTGGCTGAGACTTATTATTTCAACTAATATTTGTTGAGGCTGCTATGTACCTGGCCCCATGATAGGTTCCATAGGTTCCATGGGTATGATAGTTATGCCCTGAAAGTTGTTAACTTGCTAAGTATAAGTCTTTTACTTACAACCGGTGCACAACTAGCGCTGGTGCCTGCAGTTAGCTTTCAAACCCTCACTGGTGGACTGAAATTATCTTCCCTGTGGAGTTTATCCGTCTCCTCCGAGGCCAGGCAGTACTTTTGTGTTGTCAAACAGGTCACTGAGCAAAAGTTTTGATCTCCCTTCTTCTGGGAGGTTTTGTTCTTTTCTTTTGATGAAGATAATCCTCTATCACCTTTCAGATGTACATATATGCTCCATGCGGTCATATATGAATATATTGCGGATCATTTGTTGGCAAAGAAACGTGATGCTGTGATTGAACAATGATGTTAACTTGTGGATTTTGGCCACCTGAAGGTGGAGTGTACACTACCAGGTTTAAACTCCTGGTGGACTTTTCACACTGAAACCACCCTTCTTAACCCCACCCACTGGATTTTTCATTAGTCAGGATTTCTGTAGTCCTAATTTCTTTCACTCTTAATCCCCACCTCAGGGGAAAAATCCCCTTTCCGCTGCTTAACGGAAAACCAGTCATGGAGCCAGGAGAAAGGCTAATGGAATGTTTGTGCTAACGCAGCCCAATGTGCAATTGCCACGGCAGTGACGGCAGTGCTGTAGGAATCCAACTGTGGGATACCTCAGGTAAGCCTTCTCCACTCAGCAGAACTTGCGTTAGTCCTGTCAACCTTTGTAATTTCTTTTTCTCTGCTTTTATGCCAAATTACGCCATTTTCTTTCTGATTGATATTTTATTCTTTTAGCCACATTTTCAATTCCATTATATATTCAGTTAGATTCTATTCACATCTTAAAAGTCTGGGACACTCATCTTTTTAAGGTGACTTCGCAATTGCTCAGATTTCCTGCATAGTGACCAAGTATTTTACCTCAGAGAAAACCGTCTTATTTCTCTCATGTTAATAGTTTCATTTTTTGTTTTTGGTGTGTGTGTGGTTAATGATAAAAATAATAACAGGAATTGTTAAGATATGGGAATTCTAACTTGTGGGTTCTATGGGGGACATAAACTTCCCAGGACGAGGGGAAAAAAGGAACCTTGCATGCTTCCTACATATTTATTTTCTACAACATAATGTTCTCAAATGGGTTTTTCCCAAATCTGAAACATCTGAAGAATCTCTGAGATGAATATCAGAGTAACAGCAAACTCACTGGCTATGTCTTAACTTTCTCTGCTGATTCAGCTTCTTTGCAGCCTACTAACAATGTGTTAACAGGTGTAAGACATAGCTATTCTCCTCGTCTGATAAATACGTACAACTGTGATAAATGACAATTACGGGAGTAATACTTTACAGTTGAATAAAAGTCATGTTGGAATTGTGTGCTCTCCTTGAAAAATGAATTTAAATCCATGGTTCTATTTGTTCCTCATAACAATTCTTTGAAGGTAAAATAGTATTTACCCATTTCTTTACCAAAGTGAAGAAACTGGCCTTTGAGAAGCTAAGGTGGTTTGTTCCTAAACTTACAGCTAGTAAATGATAGAACTTATGTAATGTGATCCTTAGTCCTGTGCTCTTTCAGCATATCATGCAGCTTCTAATAAACATGTTTTAATTGGTTTAGCTTTCTCCCAAGGAAGAGAGGACAAAGATTGCTCAGTCTTAGCATTCTGTTTATATCAATAAAATAGATTCTGAAAGTCTATCTTAGGTTGAATGCTTATAATCTTCTCATTTTATGACTCATTTGATAAACAATATGTGTGTGTGTGTGAAGATTGACGTAGGAGCCATAGGTCCAGGGAGCATTGAACATTTCTCTAATGCCATCTGCTATTATTGAACTGAAATGCTCATTAGCAAATCAGACCAATGGTCAGAGTTTTGTTTCTGTATTGATTCTCTTGGAAACTATTTTAGCTCTAAGAATAAGTTACATCTGTTTTGCTAATATTGTAGTCATTTACTTTTCATGCATCTCTTTTCAGTTTTAGCTTTTCC